AGGGTTTTACCATGTTGGCCAGGCTGGTCTTGAATTCCTGACCTCAGGTGATCTGCCCACCTTGGCTTCCCAAAGTGCTGGGATTACAGGCGTGAGCCACCAAGCCCAGCCCTTTCTTTTCTCTTTTTTGAGACAAGGTCTCACTCTGGAGTGCAGTGGTACAGTCACAGCTCACTGCAGCCTTGACCGCCCAGGCTCAAGTGATCCTCCTACCTTAGCCTCCTGAATAGCTGGGACCACAGGCATGTACCATCATGTCCAGCTAATTAAAAAAAAAAAATTGTAAAGACGGGATCTTGCTATGTTGCCCAGGCTAGTCTCAAACTCCTAAGACTCAAGATCCTCCTGCTTCAGCCTCTTAAAATGTTGGGATTACAGATGTGAGCCACGGTGCCTGGCCTATCATTTATTTGTATCAGGTTGTGAACACAGGAGGCAGAGACCATGGGAGCCACCTGAAGAATCATTCTGAGGCTAGATGCAAAAAATTAAAAAACTAGCTGGCTGTGGTGGTGGGGCTTGTGGCATGGGTGGGGCTGGAGCAGAGACCTCCACATCTGAGTGGTTAAAGGGAAGGCAGAGTTCCAAGAAAAAGGCGGGGCTTGTGGCATGGGTAGGGGTTGAGCAGAGACCACCTATGAGTGAGTAAACGGAAGGCAGGGCTTTGAGTAAGAGGCGGGACTTGTAGCATGGGCAGGACTTGATCAGATACCTCCATATGTGAGTGGTTAAAGGGAATGTGGGGCTCCAAGAAAGAAGCGGGGCTTCTAGCATGGGCGGGGCTTGAGCAGAGACCTCCACATTTAGGTAGTTAAGAGGAGGGCGGGGCTCTGCTAGGAGGCGGGGCCTCGAGGCTGGGCCGGTCACGAGGCGATGTCTCCCCAGCCTAAGAGAAGGAAGCGAGAAGGTGCGGGCTTCGCGCAGGGGGCGGGGCTTGGGGCGCGTGGCTGGGCGCGAGCGGCACGCGGCTCGGGGGCGCGGCAGGTGACGTCAGGGGGCACGCCGGGCTCGGGGAAGACGCCAAGATGGCGGCAAGTCACTACTTCGGCTTCGCGCAGGGCAGCGACCTGCAGTACAGGTAACAGCTCCGCCGCGCCGGCCCCTGCCAGTCCCGGCTCCTGCCAGTCCTGGCTCCTGCAGCCTGGCCAGGACTCCGCCTGCCCCTCCTCCCGTCCCGCGCACCTGGCCCGGGCCAGGCCCCAGCCCCAGTCCCGGCCCCAGCCCCAGCCCCAACCTGGACCCCCGGCCTGTGGAGAGCCGCGGCGCCGGGAGGAGCCGGCGGGGCTGCCTCAGGTTCGGCACCGGGCGGGACGCGGGCTCCGGGGCTCCGGGGCTCCGGGGCTCCGGCTGAGACGTCTCTGCAGCCGACGGTGTCTATCGGCGGGAGCGGGAGGGGGCTTCTGAAGTGGGAGGGGGCCTGGGCCTGGGCCTCTGCGGGGTGGGGGGGTCAGCTCCTGATGGGGACGCCCCGAGGAGGGCAGCGAGGGGGAACAGACCCGGGAGGGTGCCTGGCCGGGGGGCGTGTGTAGGGGGGGAACAGGTAGAGGAGGGGGAGGGGACGGGAATTGACCCAATGCAGAGAGGAGACCTGGGAGGTGCCTGGCCGGGGAGGGGGTGGGGATGGGCAGAGAGGAGCTGACCCCTGATTGCTGGTAGGGGAAGAGAAGACACAGACCTAGGAGGGTGTCTGGCTGGGCAGGAGGAGGGGAAGGGCAGAGGGGCATTGACCCCCGATTGCCGGGGTAGGAGAAGACACAGACCTGGGAGGGTGCCTGGCGGGGCAGGGGGATGGACAGAGGGGAGCTGACCCCCGATTATTGGTAGGGGAGGAGAAAACAGATCAGCGAGGATTCCCAGCTGGGCAGGAGGAAACCACAGTCGAGGGTGAACTGGCCGCTGATGGGGGTAAGAGAGAAGACAGAAACCTGGGAGGGTGCCTGACTGAACAGGGGAGGGCTAGAGCGGAGCTGACTCCTGATTGCTGGTAGGGAAAGAGAATACAGACCTGGGAGGGTGTCCGGCTGGGCAGGAGGAGGGGAAGGGCAGAGGGGTGTTAACCCCCGATTGCTGGAGGAGGAGAAGGCAGAGACCTGGGAGGGTTCCCGGCTGGGCAGGGGGCAGCCACATTCGATTGCAGGGTTCACTGACCCTGATGATGGGGGTAGGGGAGAAGGCAGAGACCTGGGAGGGTATCCCAGGCAGGGGCAGAAACAGAGGTTGGTGTGGGGAACTGAGGCCTGATTGGGGAAGGGGGACAGAGACTTGGCGGGAAGCCAGTAAGATGTGGGAGGAGGTCCTGAGGTCAAATAAGAGGGTGGGCACCTGGGTTTCCAGGGAACTGGGACCCTTCTGGGACAGTGAGGCGGGAGAAAGGGCACTGAGTGTTTGGGTATTTATGATCCTTTTCTAGGTCTTAAATATCTAGTCGTTTGGGAGGGGAGAGAGAGAAAGGATTCTGGAGGAGAGATGGCAGGGGATGGGGACACACTGGGAACTGGCCAGGGGCAGGAGGGCTCAGTGGGTAGGGACACAGGGTAAGTTTGTACCCTGAATGTACAAACACACACTCTACACTCTTCTCCCAGGCCTGCTCCTCGGAGCATCTCTGCTATCTTCAGCCCTTCCGTCTGCCCCCAAGACTGAAGTCCCAGTCTGAAAGCCAGGGCTGGCATCTCTGGAGGGAGCAGATCCCCCCACAACAGTTGATGATTTCTGCGTGTCACCCTTGTGTCGGTTTCCAGCTGTTAGCTTGCTATAACCTTGTGGGTCACAGCCCCTGCTGAGCCCCCACAGATACAAACCACCCCTTGGGCACCTCATAGAGGGGCCTCTGCTGAGCTCTGGGGTCTTTGCTCCCCCGCGGTGTTCCTACTCCATTTCAGCACGTGGAAGAGAGATCTAGGCTGGTGTTTCAGCCTCCCGCGGTGGAGCGGCAGTGCCGATCCTTCCACCAGTGGCTGTGATATTGCTGTGCCCTTTCCAGTGGAATCACAAAGAGAAACCACCCAGGGCTTGGAAACTAGGGCTGTGGGAATGAGAAGTGCACCTGTTTCCTGCGCTTGGAGTGGTTTCTCCGATGGAGTACTTGGCTAGTAATGGATTTCCTATTAGGGAAAGAATCTATGACCTGCTGATTTCCCAGAACGGAACGTTTAATTTTTATTTGATCTTCTCTTTTGCTTTCTTCATCCTCAGTGGTGTTTCGCTGGCCGGTGCTCAGTTAAAGCGGCTTGACTCAGCTAGCACTCCAGGCTGGTAGAAACTTCTGGACACATTCCACCCCTCTGCCTGCTAGCTCTTCCTTCTTTTCTCTTTCTCTTCTTTCTTTCTCCATCGCATTCTTCCATCAGACGTGGAAAATCACTTGAATATTATGCTTGCTATTAAAATTACCTTCCACAGGAGAAATTGAATGTTTATGTTGTTCAAATAGGTAATTGCTAAACTTCAGTAGCCGCTTCTGTCTTGATTTGAATTAATGTGCTTATACATTTTAGCGTTTTAGTGCAGCTCCCTTCTGTGTTCTGATGGCTTAGGTGATCTAGTACACACATAACCAAGGGTGTGAAACTGCCACGAACCCGGTGTTGAGTTGTTGAGTTAGTCCCTCCTTGAATTGCTCCAGGGAAAATGTGTTCTTCCTTAAGAAAAGAGTAAGCTATGAACTAAAACTCAGAATAACACTGGAATCATAGCAAAATGCATTTCAGTCTCATAAAACCTTGAAACAAGATGATATGCATTATTTGAATGACTTTAGGTTAACTAGACATTCTTTCTTGCAGGAAATGACTTTTGTTTAGAAACATTGGCTGCTTTTAAAGTATATAAGTTTTGGCCGGGCGTGGTGACTCATGACTGTAAACCCAGCACTTTGGGAGGCTGAGGCAGGCGGATCGCTTGAGGTCAGGCGTTCGAGACCAGCCTGGCCAACATGGTGAAACCCTGTCTCTCCTAAAAATACAAAAATTAGCCTGGCATGTTGTTGCACGCCTGTAATCCCAGCTACTTGGGAGGCTGAGGCAGAAGAATCGCTTGAACCTGGGAGGTGGAGGTTGCTGTGAGCTGAGATCATTGCGTCACTGCACTCCAGCCTGGGCGACAGGGTGAGACTGTCTCAAACAAACAAAAAAGTACCTATGTTTTATATAACCTGCCATGAGAAAACTGATCAGATAACAGATTTTGTGTACCAATTTTATGGCAGCATTTGGACAGCAGTATTTACAAAAGCCTGTTTCAAGAATTGCCAAAACAAAGACGGCAATTTATTTTTTAGGAGTTTTGGGTAGGTTTTCCCTTTCTTTCTTTTTTTTTTTTGAGACGTGTCTTGCTCTGTTGCCCAGGGCTGAAGGACGGGTGCCACAAATCCAACTCGACTCTGAGCCTCAAAACTCTGGGCTCAGGTGATTCCTCTTCTCTGCCTGCAACAGTCTTGGGGAGCTTAATAGGTGGCACACCACCACATCTTAGCTAATTGTTTATAAGTTTGTTTATAGGAGGATGGGGGGGAAGGTCTCAATCATTTTGCAGGGCTATTTAAACTCTGGGCTCAATGGTAGAT